AACCCTTGTACTGTAGTAGTTCGTCCGAATGAAACCGAATCCAAAGAAATCCTAGAAGTGGAGATGAGCCGATGAAGATTCAGGCACTGGTAGGAGACGTTTACCTGATCTGGCGCGAATTTCTGCCTTCGGCAAGCTCATTCCACAAAATCGTCCAATCAGCGGAGAAAATCCATAGCGACCGTCACGGAATTCCTGAAAAGCCTAATCGCATTGACTCTAAGCAATCTCATGTCCGGCATCTTTACTGATTTAGGGGCACTACTTTATCTTTTGAGGGCGGAGGTGGTGTAGTGGCAAGTGGAGCAGTTCACGTTTGAATGGTCATGGCTTGAATCCCGAATCGATATCCGCATAGGCCGACCAAGCCTTCCTTCCCTCCGAGGTCGGTCAGTTGGTACCAGACTCGTCTGAGAGGATAAAAGCGCTGACTTGTTCATCGGCTGGCCACCGTAAGTCATTGTAGAGGCCACATACGCATTCAAGGCACCGCCACTGCGATTGTGAATGGAAGTCGAATGCGTGGGCGCATTCTTCAGATGCGATTGATTAACGCCTCAAAACTTTATCCTATAAACTTTATTCTTTACTTTATCTTTTCACTTCGCACGGTTGCCTACATTGGACGATCACAGGATGCCATAAAATATGGAGAGTGTTCCGCGGAACATCATCGGAACCCTGGCTTTGCTATTCACGCAACTTCCGCAAAAAGGATAACTATCCAATTAGTTAAAGACAGACGGTTGTGCCACCATGTAGGGGATGAAGACAAGGTTCGGGTGAAACGAGTGCTCAAAAACTTTTCACAAGGTTCTTCTACAAACTTTGTTTGGCTATCGTAATGGCAGGATTGCCATTTTCAGATGAAAAACTCCGACCAAATGCTTGCACAAATTCATGGAGTCCTACTCTACAGGGCACGGGTATGTGTACGAACGTACGTCCGAGGATGCGCGCGGCAAATTGCGCGGCGAAGTTCGTAACGATTTGAACGACTTTGGCGCCCATCATTGGGGCCCAAATTTGAAGTTGAGTAGATTAGAAGGATCATCTGACTCTACTAAACTACTCTACTTTGAGTTTCTGCCCCAAAAATTGGTGTCAAAGTCGTACAAATCATCACGGACTTCGCCGCGCAAGTTGCCGCGCGCATACTCGGACGCACGTTCGTACCGTCCCCCACGGGCACGCATGTATTTTGAAGAAAGGCCCACAGGGCACGCATGTATTTTGAAGAAAGGCCATTTACCCCAGCTCCGCCAAATCTCCAGACCATGTAGTGTACTTTTTGAGCAATGTCAAACCCGGCTGGTTTTCTTCTGGGCAAAAATCTTATGAAACCTTAGCTTCGGAGTGATTGTGAGGTATTCCTTCGTGCGGTTCATTTAGTTTTGTAACATCTAACTGAAGTGCTTTGACGCTTTCTTCCATACAATTGCTTTCCGGCACCGAGACCTTCGAGGTGACTTCAAAAATGTTTCGGTCACGATTTTGAATGCAGCTGATACTCGAGGATGCCTTTCACGACTGATACCATTCGTCCCTGCTAACCGGGCAGACCCCCAGATCGATCGTGATCAACGAATAGCAGGAATATAGGTGATACCATGAACAGCCTGGTCCTGTTCATTGCAGGTTCTCATGGGATACTTGCACAAAATATTAAATTCTTCATTGCAGGGCGATCGGTCCAGGACGATAGCTGATCGACCGCTTGTGTACCACCTCAAAGTGTGAGTTCTGTCCGGCTTGTACAGAGGATGATTGCCCTATGCAGGGAGCGATCCGTGGTGCGCTTGGGAGTTGGAGAAACAAGTTCAAAGCGTTTGTCAAAAGTCATTGAACCTTTTGGACTTGCTATCAAAATCTAAAGAAATGACAAATCGTGAAACGTTATAAATATTTGCATGGTTATGAGCCCTTTTGAGAGATATTCATTTTGTAAGTACTACATCCTCGCTTTTTTCCGGAATTCACGTTCTTAATGAAGGATGAAGTAGGGCACCGATCAAGAAAGTTATAGCTACTTTATAGCCCTGAAGAGGTAGGAAAATGGCTGTAACTTACAACGAAATCGTTAGGACAGTCCGAGGTGACTGCGCTCGCAGCTGTTTTCGGGGCGGCAGTGTAGGAGCTCTCAATCTGAAATCAGCTCTTGTAACTTCTTCATAAGGACAGAATCCCATCCAAACAGGCAACAATTTGGTTTTGGTTCTGATTTAATTCGTGATTATGGGAGAGCTTTTCAGATCTGGACTGCGTTTACCCGAATATTTCGACCACACTCTTTCTCAGTAGTTATTGAAGAGATGAAAGCGTAAAAGGTAACAAAGATAGAGCTATATTTGAAAGTTTCACCTCAAAAAGATGATGGAAGTGGACAAGCATATCAAATCCGGGGCTAGCCTGAATCACTCGGACACATTCCATATTCGGTGGATATAGATTCGGATAACCTGGGCTGGAGAAGGAGTGCAACGATGGCACCCCTTCCCCTCTCAGAGAAGCGCATTTGTCGTCCTGGACCGATCGCCCTGCAATAAAGAGTTCAATATTTTGTGCAAAGTACCCCATGACGGTGGAGGTGGTATAGTGGCAAGTGGCGCACTATCTCACGGACAGGGATTTGGATCCCGTATCGATATCCGCCTGAACCAATCAAGCCTTCCATCCTCCGGGGTCACTTTGGTACCAAACTTGTCTGGAAATGTAAAACCCCTGGCTTTACATCGGCTGGCCACCACAAGTCACTGTATAGGCCATATACGCACTCATTACGCCACCACGATTCTGAATGGAAGTTGACTGCGGACGCGCATCCCTCAGACGGGATTGATTAACGCCAAAAACGATATCCTATTGTTCTTTACCCCGTGGGAACTGCAGCGATCAGGACCAGGCTGTTCACGGTATCGCCTGTATTCCAGCTGTTCGTGGATCGCNGCGAAGCACTTCTTTTCTTCGTGAAGAAGTCTGACCACCGAGCTGGTGATTTGAGATTTTGAGGGTTCGGCCAGTAACTTTTCTAATGCAAGAGTCATCATAATTTTGATGTTATGTCCGTCCCCTGATTTTCAAACCCTTAACGCGTGCGGTAGAGTCCGTGTTCTTACTAAGTCGTCGGCTAAGTATAGAGGCCAGGATTCCCTTCTCTCCTTGTACTGGTAACCTTCGAGCATTTTCGTCTAACAGCGCCTTGAATTACGCTAACTGCATGCTAATGCTGCCTGCTCACGGTTTGAGCCTCCGTCTAGTAAGTCAAGGCATGAAGGAGCGTATAATAAAAGAAATGGGAAGGGGCCTAGATGTTTTTCTTTGTTTTCTTGAATACTCCCTCGATACTCCAGAAGCGTTTCAAAAGAGCCTCATTCCAAAAGAGAATACAGCGATCGTGGCGAAATAACAACAATCAACAAAACATTAAGTCAATACATTAGGGAATAATTTGGCTCCCATATTCCCGTAAACATCTTTGTGCAGATGAGAGCCGATCTTTCCTCAGCCTTCGGCAAGATTCCGCTCTGCCAGCTCGCTATTTGATTATAAGAAAGACATCGTCCGCAAAGCGTAGATGGCTCTATCGAGCCACTCCCCTTGTAGGATTGTGAGTGAATGTATATGAATCGTTAGCCCGTTAGAGAAGCCTCTTAGTCTATCTGCGACGATTTTTGGTATTGCCTAAAAAGCATCTGAAACGGTCGGGTTAAGTTTGGGACGGGTGGAGCCAAAACCAAGGTCAACCGAAAACATGTGAGCTCAGTGGAGTTTGTTCAAAGGGGACGGAAGATGTACCGAAATGGGCGGCGCTAAGGACAATATTCTCTAATATGTTTCCAAAAAGGAGAAAAAACAAACCTGCTAATGTCAATATGCATAAGACAAGCATAGAAGGAAGAAATCACATCGAGGCGTCGCCAGTTGTTCGAGTTAACCTAGAACATGGAACCTGGAAATGCATGTTTCTTAAAGGCACAGTTCACGATAATTTTGGGTAATCCAGATTATGATGGAAAATGGAAGACAAGATCGAAACAAGTGCGACTGAGGTGAACAAACTGCGTGCTTCGGTGTTTCCGAAGTGAAAAAAGGCTCGAAAAACCGTTAAAAAGGGGGCTGGACGAGAATGAAACCAGAAAAATGAAGAAGAGTGGGGCGTCCGGACGAGCTAAACAGTGTGTTTCACTGCGCGCGTGTGGTTCCTGGTGCGAATAACAGACAATGGTAAGCAAAAATTCATTCACTTNTTAGGAGTAGGAAATTAAATAAGGGACCGCGGCAGCAAAAAGAAAAACAGAGGAAAAAAGAATGGGAGCAAACCATCGCCTCATCACTCGGCGACTAGCTGATTGTGCGTGGGTCCTAGAACGAATAATAGCAATCTGTATTGTCTCGACACTCGTATAACGAGTCACCGATCAAGGGGAGGGAAAGTGAACTACGGCAGCAACAGGGCTTCCACTATGCCCTGAGCGCCTAGATTGTGGGAGCGAGAGGGTCCCTTCTACCACCGTTTGGGGGGCGGGGACGCTGAGTATCCCTCAAGGAAGAACTCAGTAACCTTTTTTATCGTGAACCGTGCCTTCAACAAATGAGACAAAGAGTATGCGCCAGAATTGAAATTCTTCCAATTTATACGAAACCAAGCTTACCATGAGAAGCTACGGACCAGTTCTAAGAAGAGATGGTTAACATATCGAGAAGTGTTGTGTCTGTTACGTTTTAGAAGGCATATGCGAGAAAACAATACAAGAACACTGTAGACAAACAAGTATAACCACAGCACCCAAAGTAGCAGCCTAACCACCAGACATCTTCGCTTGAAAATCAGACCCCAAAATAGGAAATTCAGTTTTGCTCTTCCTGCCACGTTGAAAGCAGTTGCCATTGTGGTGAAATTGTAAGCCGAGTTAACGGCTTGGTCTCTGCTCATTTTATTTGGCTGCGATACGACCTTCGCTAATGGCTTTCGTACTCGACCATGTAATCCCATGGCGACCGATCGTCAATGAGCAATGTTCATTTAGCCGACGGTCCCCTTCTCCAATAAACAGCCTGACCGGCAGTTGGCATTTCATCTTCCATTAAGTCAGCCTTTTATGCTGCCTAACAGACTTTGAAGAATAAATGACAACTCTTGGTTAATGCAAGCCGACGTATCTTGCTCATACCAAGAGACACATGTGCGCTTACGCATTTTGAGAGAAATGAGCGTTGCTTCAAACTTAAAGGCACAGTTCACGATTATTTTGAGGTACCTGTTTTTATTCGAAAAGCGGAACTATAGATTGGGAATAGTTAATCGGTAGTGAAGAAAGCGAGGGAATTTGCCGATTTCGAGAAAGACGTCTCCACAAAAGTAGGGAAAATAGAGGTTGGACGAGATTGCCATGACGGAAATAACATGGAAGGGATTTTCGGGCGAGATTTCAGTCACTGCAATTGCACAGAGAGCTTTACAACAAGCCAAAACTGTACAGAACTGTCTTTCACTGTCACTATGGGTCATGGAAAGTTGTTTGAACTTCCTACACGGGTTCCCTTGTGATCGATGCAGCCTCTAGAATGGCGGTGGAACTCGTCCGAGGGAACACACGAGCCAATCTTCGAGCCTTTATAACTCCCTAACTAGGCCGTTTTCCGACCTAATTGTACCAGATATCGTATACGCAGGGACCTCAAATTCATCCTATAGGGGAACCTCAGGAACCATTTTTACCGTAAACTGTGCCTTTACTTTTACGAAACACTTCGGCCCGTCCCTTCCAGTTCACTTAGCAGTAGGACTCGTGGTAAAAGAACGAACGGAGAAAGTTCAGCAACGACATTTGGCTCTGCGGATGGCTTGATAATGCCCACAGAAACCTTATACTATTAAGTTACTCGTGAGTGGACAAAACTCAATGAGAAAGGAATAAATAGAACGCGTGAACTTTTTGGGCGCTAGTTGATTCCGTTTTTAGGTTTCGCTCTCGCATTCGACTCTCATTGAGAATCACAGTTTCGATTTACGGCGGAGAGCTTCTATACAAGTCTGTACTTTTATTTTTCAGACGACGTTGGTTCCAGTTAGCCGACTCCGTAGGGATGAAAGGTCTGTTTGGCCTAGCCCAATCTCGAAACAGGATTTGATCCCAGGAACATGCGTGTGTATGAGGGTGCCACTCGTCATTACACCCCTTTCACTCGTTGAGAAATGAAAGTATGACTGGGTTTACTCCTGATTTTGAAGGTAGCGACCAGTACGACTCCTGTCGCAACTTCTTCTATTTTTTGGACAGTTCTCATACTAGTGATTGAAGCTTTCTTGCAGCAAAGGAATGGAGATGCCGCAGTGTGGTTAGCCTCAAAGCCTCAACATAAAAGATGCCTTCATCCGAGCGCCGATCTACTTGCTGCATGGGAACACTTCTTAGAGATTACTAAAACAACTGAATTTTAAGAGACACACAGCTCACGTATTACAGTATAGTGCGTTGAGGATTGACGTTGGGTCCGATCAGCTCAAAGTAAGAGGCTACACCAACTGTTTTTCTGTTGGAATTTGGCCGACTACTTGCACTCGACAAATTCTTGAATGGGGATTGGTGTCTTTTCCCCGAAAGCGACGTCACACCCGATCGCACTCGGTCGCGCTCTATGAAGGGAAGAATTTGNGCCTCAACATAAAAGATGCCTTCATCCGAGCGCCGATCTACTTGCTGCATGGGAACACTTCTTAGAGATTACTAAAACAACTAAATTTTAAGAGATTGACTCTGACAAGGACACACAGCTCACGTATTACAGTACAGTGCGTTGAGGATTGACGTTGGGTCCGATCAGCTCAAAGTAAGAGGCTACACCAATTGTGTTTCTGTTGGAATTTGGCCGACTACTTGCACTCGACAAATTCTTGAATGGGGATTGGTGTCTTTTCCCCGAAAGCGACGTCACACCCGATCGCACTCGGTCGCGCTCTATGAAGGGAAGAATTTGATTTCCCAGTGGAAGTAAGGATAGCGGCCGCGTGACCACTGCCGCTTGCCGCGGGAATTCGGGGAGAAGTTCTGTCTACCTCTTGCAAGTGTTCTCGTTGCTTCAAACTCTATTTACCGTAATTACCACCTTTCAGCAACCATTCGGATCTGACCCATACTTCACTTCCGCTCTTTCATCACTATCGCGACACGCGACAAACGCACTACACCGTTCGGGGGGACCCCTCTAGGTAGAAGCCCACACTCTCTCCTGATGTCACAGTTAGCGTCTGGCCGCAGGGTATGGCGTTCCGGCAAGACGCTATCTGTCCAATTGAGTCGCTTTTGTCTTCAGAACAACTGTCTGGTCTACTCCTTTCAGAGACATGCCACCAAAAGCAACGCAGCTTAAGGAGCCGAAAATGATGTTTATTTCGTATTGGCACGATGTTTACCAGGACTGCTCGAAGGAGT